CCTGACATGAACCTATACAATTAAAAATAACACATACCCAAATTTATTTAACTGAGGTCTAAATTCAGGACCACTAGCCTCAAGTTTACCTTCCTGCAATCCTACTTTTCTAATCTACTGATTCTACTTTTTTTCCTGATTCCACTCTTCTAGGTAATTTCACACCATCTCTTATACGCTCACTTTAGGATTAGTGATTTCTATTCTACTAGGAAAATAGAAAACAATCTGAAGCACTGCATGAAGTTCGACATATTCAATATGGTCAGATTATACCAGTATCATCTGCTAGTTCTTGTGTTCAAAGCACAAAGTTCTTGTACTTAAATCAAGTAGAAGGGAGCACAAATAGAAATCTCATAGTAACATTTCTGAAATGTACAATATCAGGCTCCACCCCGGCCCCCACAAAAACAGAGCCTTCATTTAAACAAGAATACTATGACAAGGACAGGGGGACACAGACAGACAGACAGACAGACAGACACACACACACACACACACACACACACACACACACAAACACACACACGGGAGGGGAAAAATTAAGTCTGACAAAGTACTTCCATCTTATAAGGTGGCTTTCAATTCTATCAAGAAGGCCACCAGGACTTTTACATCGCTCAATCTAACCCAATCTCATTTTACTTTACCGATACCAGCAGCATTTGACAGAGCTGATCATTCTTCCTTAAAACAGATCCCCAACCAGGGTGGGCGCTTCCTGTTTATAATCCTAAGTATCCAGGAGGCTGGGAGATTGTGGTTCAAGGCCTGTGCAGACAAAAAGTTTCTGAGATCCTTTCTCATTCCATAGCTGATTGGGGATCATCTGTCATCTTAGCTATTCGAGAAGCATAAATTAAGAGGATCAAAAGGCCTAAGGCACAAAGGAAGACTCTTTCAAAAATATCATAAGCAAACCAGCTAGGGGCATAGCTTGAGTGGTAAAGTGCCAGCCTAATAACTACAAGGCACTGAGTTCAAACTTTAGTTCCACCTAAAAATATTTCCTCACTTTTGTTAGTCTATTTTACTGGTTCTTACTCATTACTACAATTTCTAATCCTAAATTTCATGTTCTGGATCTCTGGATCATTACTCTATCAACACTCAGTTTTTAGGTAAAGTGGATCTCTTCTATTCTCAGGTTTTTAAGTTAACCTCAAATTTTCTATAGCCTGTTGGCCTTTTCCCTTGCACACCAAAATCATATACCTAGCTACCAATTCAATTTCTAACTGAATGCATAGTAAGTCTGTCAAATTTACCAAATACTGTGTAAGTTCTAATTTTTTCCCCAGGGTCTTCTTGTCTTATAGTTTTTCCAAATGAACAAATGTCTACACTTCATCATTCTAGTTACTAAGGAGACAAAGATTACCATCTTTACCCTCTCACCTCACTTCCAGCCTGACAAGAAATACTGTTGTCTCTACCTTCAAATACATCCAGGGTATAACCCTCTCACTACTTCCACTGCCACCATAATGGTCCAAACCACCATCAGATTAGGCAAACACTCTCTTCACTTTTCTGTCTGCTATAAAACATAAATGAAATCTTATGACCCCTCTGTTCATTACCCCCAAATGACTTTTCATTTCCCTTGGAATTAAAGTCAAAGTCTCACAACACCTTATTCATGCCATTACTTCTTTTGTTGTTGCTGTTGTTGTTTGTTTTTTGGTCATGGGGCTTGAATTCGGCCTAGGTGCTATCCCTCAGCTCTTGAGCTCAAGGGCGAGTGCTCTACCATTTGAGCCACAGTCTCACTTCCAGTTTTCTGGTCGTTTATTGGAGATACGAGTCTCATTGACTTTCCTGCCTGGGCTAGCTTTGAATCACGATCCTCAGATCTCATCCTCCTGAGTAGCTAGGATTACAGGCCTGAGCCACCAGCACCCCGCTATGTTCTTACCTCTTAATCCATCTCTTTATTCCTTGTTCACACCATTTCATACACACCAGTCTCCTAACTATTCTTTAGAACACACAAACTGTTTGTATTTGATACTCTTTAGAATGCTCTTCACTTGGATATCTGCATGACCAAATGAACCAAACCTCTACTTGTTATCTCAGAATCAATTTTTAAATGTCCATTCTATGTATAGAGTATCAACATCCCCTCACTACTGAAGACCAAATTCAATCTCACTTCTTTTTTATTTTCTTGGTCTCTCTTCCCCAAATGTCAGCTCCACAAAGACTATGTATATGTGTATGCATATATGAATAATGTAAGTGCACATATTTACTATGTGTACATGTATGTGTGTATGTATGTACACACACAGTGAATATGTGTGAAAAATACATTTATACATACACACAAGCACCAGTCCTATAGCTTGAACTCAGAGCCTGGGCTGCTTGAGGCACTCTGTCACTTGAGCCATAGTTATACTTCTGGCTTATAACTGAAGGTAAGAGTCTCAAGGACTCTCCTGCTCAGGCTGGCTTTAAAACAGGATCCCAGACCTCAGCCTCCTGAGTAGCTAAGATAACAAGCACTTGGCATGATTTACTTAAACAGCTGAATTCCTTAGTTCCTATCTATACCTGACACCTATCAGCTGAATTCCTTAGTTGCTAAATCTACACCTGACACCTAACAAGCACTGCTGAGTGACTTTCTGCTGATATCTGACTAAGAAAACCTTGAATTAAGTAACACTAGTCAGAATATAATTAGGGATTATACCTTCTCACTTGAACGCAATAAAAACTATTGAGCTAGCTCAATCCTAGCCAAAATTTATTGACAGATATGAATGTGCAAGAGCAAGTTCTCTCACTCTAGCTAGAAAAGAAAAAGATCAGATCAATTGTAAATCAAGAAGATCCTTAAGCAGGTGATTCAAACTAAGTCTTATTTTAATCTTTTATGTGGAGTTTTGTTTTTAAGGCTTTAATAGATGTTTCTTTTAACCCAAGTCCTAGTCCATCAATGACTTTTACACAAGTTACTTAAAAAAAAATCTACCCCTACATTTAAAAAGTGCTGTGTATTTTTTAAACCAGATTCCCTTATACACAGAATAACATTCATGTAAAAAGGTAAAGGTGTGGACCTCTATGTAATTTTTCACCCCCCAAAAAGTCGAGCATGTAGCGGGACACTTGTGGCTCATGCCTATAATCTTAGCTACTCAGGAGGCTGACATCTGAGGATCGCAGTTCAAAACCAGCCCGGGCAGGAAAGTCTGTGAGACACTTATCTCCAATAAACCACTCAGAAAACCTGAAGTGGTGCTGTGGCTCAAGCAGTAGAACACTCACCTTGAGCTGAAGAGCTGAGGGACAACACCCAGGCCCGGAGTTCAAGCCCCAAGACCGACAAAAAAAAAAAAAAAGTAGCCTATATGACAACAATGGTCTCAAATACTATGTGCAATCTGGTTTTAGTTTGCTGACAGAATATATAAAAGTTATAAGTAAACTAAGACATTTTCTCCTGAAATTGAATTAACCAATATACAAAGGAGAATATGAAAAACAGAGATTCCTATATTGCTACTAGCTGAGCAACATTTCAAGTGATTTTTTTAAGGTCTTTAAAGACCAATATAAGCTAGGAAAACCACAAAATGTCTCCATTCAGCTTAACTAAGATTTCTATAAGAAACTAAAGAAATTTTAAAATATAATCAGGAGTCTTCAAGTATTATACAAGTACTCTCATATTATTACGGTAAAAGAACTAATTTCTACAAATATAAATTAAGAATATTACACACATACAAGGACATATCCAAGTGTACACAAACATATTAACTGAAGTATAGTATATGCAAGAGAGAATTCAAATAGTGTAATCCATTCCTTAGGAAAGTTCAGTTCAACAAAATAAATACCAGGAAGCTGGTACTTGAGATGGGGGTTTGAGGGATGTCAACTAGAGAGAGGGACAGATGAATGAAAACAGGAGGAGGAAGAATGAAGTGATTAATACTCAATGCATATCCTAGGAAACTAGAAAAATTGATGGGAGGGGAAGGGTTGGGAGAGATGGGGGAGAATGATGAAAGGGATGATATCGATTAAGATGCACTGCACTTAAAACTGGCAAGCTGAATAGAAATCCCTTTTGACAACTACTTAAAAGATAATTTTTAAAAAAATTTATTTATTTATTTTTATTGTGAAAATACCATACAGAGGGGTTACAATTACATAGGCAAGATAATGAGTACATTTCTTACCAAGCATTGTTGCCTCCTCCTTTGTTTCCCTTTCCCATACCTCCCCTACCCCCGCTACCCAATCCTTCCCCCCCACACACCAAAGTTGTAAAGTTCGTTTTTCGACATAACGACTTGTACATCTCATTGTTGCAATGTGTCCACCTGTATCCCTATTTAAACCATTTGTTTTTTCCCTTCACCTCCACAAATTATACCAACATCAAATACAGTAAAAGCAGAGGTTATACCGTGGGGGAGGGACATACAAAGCAACAAAAAAAATCATCTTATAAATATGTTAGAAACAATTGCATGAAAGAAAAAAAAAAGCATTTGAATACTTATCTTGGGATTCATTTCCCTAACATCAACTTATCTGACCTTTTCTGCTTGACTCAGACATACACTGGTTATTGCAAATAAAAACGATGGTTAGGGGCTGGGAAGGTGGCTCAGTGGTAGAGCGCTTGCCTTGCATGCCTAAGGCCCGGGGTTCGATTCCTCAGCACCACATAAGCAAAAAGAAAAAAGCCGGAAGTGGCGCCTAGCATGCCTAAGGCCCGGGGTTCGATTCCTCAGCACCACATAAGCAAAAAGAAAAAAGCCGGAAGTGGCGCCTAGCATGCCTAAGGCCCGGGGTTCGATTCCTCAGCACCACATAAGCAAAAAGAAAAAAGCCGGAAGTGGCGCTGTGGCTCAAGTGGTAGAGCGCTAGCCTTGAGCTGAAGAGCTGAGGGACACACCCAGGCCCAGAGTTCAGGCCCCATGACCGGACCAAAAAAACAAACAAACAAAACAAACAAACAAAAAAAAAAACGATGGTTAGATGCCACGAAGTAGGTGTCAATGCCTTAACCATATACATTGTATGAAAGGAGAGAAGGTCAGCACTCCCCTTGACAAGGATGGAAGATGCCCTTGGGCCTGACAACACCCATACAGTTTAAAATTTTTTAAAGAGTTGTTTCATAAGCCAGGTGTTGGTGGCTAATCCCTGAGATCCTAGCTACTAAGGAGGCTGAGATCTGAGTATTCCCCGACTCTTCTTTCCAGTTAACCATGCAACCCCTGCCCCCCTTCCAAAAAAATAAAAACAAAAAAACCAAAGCTGGAAGTGGAGATATGGCTCTAGTGATATAGCACAGCTTTAAGCACAAAAGAGGTCAGGGGCAGCAGCCAGGCCCTCAGTTCAAGCCCCACAACTGACCAAAAAAAGAAAAAGGAAAAAGAAAAAAGTTGTTTCATACTCCAAGACTATATTGTACTATTATTTTGTGTTCATGTCTTACAGATAAAGCAATGTTTGGGGCCAAAGGATAGCTATATTTCTTCTGGTGACTACCAAAGTAAATACTCTCTAATGAAGGGGAAAAAAACTCAACAACATTAAATAATTTCCTCAAAAATCACAGAGCTGGAATTAAAACTCAAATACCCCCAAATCCAACCATTAGACTCAAGTACATCACCGTACTTGCATTGAAAAGCAGTATCAGAATGTGACTCACTCATTATCTGAGTAAACACAGTATGGTGTAATAACAGAGGATACAGATTTTGCAATCAAAAGACCTGTATCCATATCATGGACCATTACTCACTAGCCATATGAACTTGGGCAAATTATTAAGCTCCTGTGAACCTAGATGTCCTCATTTGTAATATGGGTTTAATAACATTATCAATCTCAAAGGATGGTCATGAAGGTTAATTAAGACAGTCAGTAGAAGTGGCTTAGCAAAGCCCAGGACACAGTATAATCTATCACACAAGGTCTAACAGAGTGACTGACTACAGAATCTCCTAAACTCTCATCAACATTCATCAAATAATCAGAAAGGAATGTAGTACTTTTAAGCTTTGCAGATACATAGATATGAGCTAAAGCAAAAACACATAGGAAGAGCATAACTTTATCACATAAAACATAATGTAGTTTTCTTTCAGAAATATTATTCTCCCTTTTGTCTCATTTTCCTAGACCTATATAAATAATTTTCAGCCCCATTACTCTATCCCTACCTCTTTTCATTCTTGCATTGAGTCTTTATGTATTTTCATTCAATATCATGGTTACAACTTCCCATGCATGTACAGTTCCAAAACTTAAGAAACGTTAGGTTGACTACAAGGGAGTCTAAACTATGTACAGCATTTCATTTCTGGAAAAGAAAGAAAATTCTTAGGATTTTAGGTGCGATTTTTTTTTTTGGGGGGGGGGGGGGCATGATCCTGGGCCTTGAACTCAGGGCCCGTGCACAATCCCTGAGCTTTTTTGCTCTACCACTTGATCCACAGCACTACTTCTGGATTTTTCCATAATTAATTGGGAATAAGAGTCTCAGGGGAGCCGGGTGCCAGTGGCTCATGCCTGTAATCCTAACTACTCAGAGACTGAGATCTGAGGATCGTGGTTCAAAGCCAGCCCGGGCACAAAAGTTGGTGAGACTCTTATCTCTAATAAACCACTAGAAAACCAGAAGTGGTACTGTGGCTCAAGCTGTCGAGCGTTCGCTTTGAGCTGAAGAGCACAGGGACAGAGGCCAAGTCCAGAGTTCAAGCCCCATGACCCACGGAAAAAAAAAAAACAGTCTCAGGGGGTTTTCCTGCCCAGGCTGGCTTTGAACCACAATCTTCAGATTTTACCCTTCAAACTAGCTAGGATTACAGGCATAGCCACCAGCAAGCACCTGGCAGGATTACCGAGTTTTAATCAAATTTCCAAAGTTTAGCCCACATCTTAAAAGTAAGATACATTACTGGTTTATGTTAATGGCTCTCCTATCTATATGGCCAGCTCGATTTTCCCCAAAACCTAAAATTATTTAACTACCTACTCTGCATATCTCCAAATGCTCCAGACACATGTGTACAAATTCTTAGGAAATTCATCATCCAAACCTGCCCAAACCTTTCTCCTGTATTATCTTACTTAGTTATGACAACACATACCACCTAGTTTTATAAGATAGAAGCATAAACCTTCCCAATGTTCCTGGTCCAAACCCTTCAATGAAGCAGAGATGAGGTGGAAGTAAGTACCTTAAAGGGGAATACATCGTGCAAGATCTAGTTGCATTTTTTCATTTCTGTTGCTGTTCCAGAACCTCCCTCCCTTACTTCCCATTCAAAATTTACTTTATGCCCCCCTGTCTGTCTCTTTACATGTTCTCTTGTACCCAGCTCAGATGTCATAATCTCTAAGGAACTGAACTGTTCCCTGACATCCTCAAAATTAATTATTCTCACCAATTCCATAGTACTCATGATTTATCTATCCCATATTAGGATAGACGTCTTCTAGATCATGAGATTCTTAAGGTATTTTACATTTTTCTTCATCTCTTAGATGATGATAAATGTCTACTGAATGAATACTATTTTGCCCATAATATACCAATGCAATTTTGAAAATGTTGATAGTTGCTCGTTACAATGGTATAGAAAATCATCTGAATGTGCCTGTCTGTAACAACTTAACGTTTAATTATTTTCAAGTGAAAGTAGACAATTCTCAAATGCACCTATCAAAAGCACTCTTTTCCTATTTACTTTAAAGGCTTTAGAAGGGTGTTAATTTATTAATATTAAATGTATTAATATTAATTGGAAAAAACGGAACAGAATATGCCCTTCAAGAGAGATCAGTAAGCTACAGTCTGTTTCTCTAAATAAACAAGTCCAAAAACAACAGAGTAAGTGAAATAAGGTGCCAGCAGAAATCTCTCCATGTACACGATTTGGTTCTGGCATCAAACATCAACACTAGCAAAATAATTGTCACATATAAGCCTAAAATCTCCTACTGATCAATCCTCGATACAGAAACATTAACTGTAACGGAAAGGCTTTTTTGAAGATTTAATGTTCAACTCTCAATAAGTTAACAAAACTTAAGCTGTACTTCACTAAGTGATAACACTTAAAGGTTTCAACTTAAGTATGTTTTAAAGTATGTTTTCTTATAAAGTGGCAGTCTAATAAATCATTTAAGCAGGGTTTTTTGGGGGAGGTCGTGTGGCTTGAACGCTGGGTCTGGGCGCTGTCCTTCAGCTCTTCAGCTCAAAGTGAGCACTACCACTTGAGCCACAGTGCCACTTCTGGTTTTCTGGTGGTTTATTGGAGATAAGAGTTTCGTGGATTTTCCTGCCTGGGCTGGCTTTGAACTGTGATCCTCAGATCTCAGCCTCCTGAGTAACTAGGATTACAGGCATGAGCCATCAGTGCCCGGCTCTTAAGCAGGATTTTAATCTCATTCGTGACACTGATATGAGGTTTGCAGTAACTGTAAAAAATACACCTGGTGGCTCAAGTCTGTAAACCTAGCTCCTCAGGATGCTGAGATCTAAGAATGGTGGTCTAAAGCCAGCAGGACAACTCTTTAAGAGTTGTATCTCTAGTTACTCGCTAACAAGCCAGAAGTGGAGCTGTGGATCCCAGCCCAGGATCACAGACACACATGGACACAGACACGGACAGACACACGGACACAGACACAGACACACACACCTCCAGGAAGGAATGCATATGAACACCAAAGTTTCAGCTTTGTTCTATTTTAAAACAAAACAGTAAAATAAGATGTATATACACATATTCACATTTAATGTATACTAATTAATTATGAGATCCATATGCAACCCTTCCCCAAGAAGCTCAACTTATAAAGCAATCAGAAAGCAAGCAAATTCACTTAGTAAGAGTATAAATAAATGTTTTAAGGTAAATATATCAACTATTCTTAAATGATTAACATTAAGGAAAAATTTGAAACACTAATCAATACTTTAGCTTTAAAATTACCTTACCTCCTCCCAATCCAGAATTGTTATTTTCTCATTTGTAAGTGCCAAAAAGAATAACTCAAAAAGTTTTCCTCTCAAAATACCTGGGCTGTTCATCTACATTACCTCAAAGGATAACAAACTTCAAAATGCCTAAATTTAAAAGCATATAAATCTATTACATACTTACACATCATGACAGTTCTGTAATTATCAAAAGTTGTACAGAACTACATCTTAAGACAAACTGAATCTGAGCTGAAAAGCACTCTATTCTTTGCTTCACTATATACAAAGCACAAGAAGTCTTTAGTCCCTTGTGAATATCATCTACATGAAGAAATTTGAAACAGGGTGGGTGGGAGAAAAGGGTGAAAATTTGAAATTCCAGGCAATTCAGAATGACACAGCTAGAAAAAAATAAGGAAGGAAAAATGCTTGGCCATAAATTCAAGCTTCAGCCTCAAAAACAATTTCCTTGGTACAAATATCTGAGGAATAGCAGTATTCTAGTCAAGTACAAACATTATGTAAGAAAGCTCCAGCTCAGAATATGTATGGTCTCTCTACCTTTTTTATTATACATGGCATAATGACAAATCATTTGTCAGAAGACATCTACAATAATTCTTAATCACTGTCAACTATCAAAAATGGCCATAGTTCCAGACTTTGAGGTAAACAGCCCAGTTTGGCACATTCAGTCTTTAATAATAGGACTTTATTAAAAATTCCGAAACCTCACCTTCCTCAACTGTTCTTGGCCTGAGGAATGGGTGCTGGTATACTCTGTAGCAACTAAAGAGTTTTATAAAGCATATGGCATACAGAATGTGCTCAATAAATACTATTGCTTCTTTCTGCATGATTTGATCTTGGCAACAGGATTTTACTACACAACAGACATACAGCCTTTATTAATGACTTAAAATGAATGTAAAGATAGTAATATTTAGAAGACTCTTTAGTTACAGTAGAAATCATGGGAATGGAAATATGATAAAGGAAGGAAAGGATTATCAACTGGAATAGCACAGCAGCTTAGAACAATTCTATGAAATCATAAACTAAACTTGCTCTATTCGACTGGCCTCTAAAAGCATTTAAATACACAGACAGCAGCAGCATTCATAATGAGAAATTTAATCAA